CGATTAAATCCCCACACACATACGCCGGTTATTACTCCAACCCTCGTGACCTTTGCTCCCGTGAGTCCGTGACCTCTGCTCCCGTTCGTGCAATTCAACCCAAACCTCCGCCGTAACCTAATAACCTCACCTGTAATCAGCTGAAGCTTCTATTTTCCGGAACAAAAACCCTTGGCTGCTCAGTAGTAGCTCCTAGATTCGCAGCTCGCTTCCCCACTCCGACCGTCCTCCTAGCTAGTCTCGAGTTCATTCGCCGTCACCTGATAGTCGCTCTAGCGTCCAGTCTCTCGAGTTCCTATCATGACTCTCCCCCGCCTCGCGAGTTCCAATCGTTCTACCCGCAGTCCGCTATAGCCTCCAACCCTCCACAACCCACGACTTACTGCTCAACCTATCCACCAAGCACCAGACCTTCGCCTCCTGGTTAGTCTCCTCTATTAATTACAAATTTACAACTTAATTTTGTAAACCTAGTCTGAAATTTAGTTTCTTTCCCCAATTCCAATGGCTTCTCTTGCGTTGAGATGAGAGTTTGAAATGATTTTTCTGGCCATTTTTAGTTTTATTTGATTGTTCTAAAGGTGTTAGTGTAAATGTGGTGTCTGTTTCATTTCCAAATGAACTTTATAAGAGTCGTAAATAGCCTAGAATTCTTCCTAGAAGACACGAGAGGTAGCAAACTCTCAATGGTATTACTGTCAAAACTTCTGCCTCTTTGTGCTTCTTCTTTTCATTCTTCCTAGGTAATTCATACTCAAGCTAAGGTAATGGCAGATCGGGATGTGATGTCTATATACAGATCTAAGAATACGATTTTTGTGGTTGTTGTTACGCCTAAAGCAGCTGGTGATATTGATCTTATTGGTGTTGTTAATGGTCGTATACTTCACTGCATTGTTCATTAAGGCTCACAGGGACTTGTCCATGCTGTAAGTTGCACGTTGTACTATTGGTTTTATTTACAAATAGCCTTAGCCTTAACAAAGTCATGTTGTCAAAAGAATAAATAAATACTTCGTACATTTTACCATATAAGACCTTGTTGTTTGATTGCTTCAATAAAAAAATACTTCTTACTAAGTCACAGTCTTACTTTTTTACGCATTCTGTGAAAAAATAGTAGTAACTTTGACAACCAAAGGCATAACATCCAAGCAACTTCTTATTGGAAAAATAGCATGGGTTGAAATTTATAGCCATAGTTTTAGATTATCGAACTGGATTACTATGAGTCTATGACTAATTCTTTCCTTGTTTTGTATTTTCTTTGATGAGATAGCATTAGAGACTATAAATTGGATTGAATGAGGTACCGTCTTTGATTGCTTTCCTTGTTTTGTTTTCTCCTTTCTAGGTTCGTTGTGGCTTTTGGAAAATTGGAGAGGTACAAAGACTACAAATTTAGAAGTTTAGATTCTTCTTATCTGATACTCTGTATATCTTAATTTAACCTATGGATTATAATATCTTAATTTTGTTGTGTATTGCTCTTCCTTTTAACAATCGTGTTTATTACCCCGTATCATTTGGTGATAACCATATCATATTGTGCAGCTATGTTAATTTTGTTCATTATGTCATGTTTTCAGTCACTTTGTATTGAATATGCAATTAAGTTTACATATTGGAGACACATTTGATGAGAACCCCAGCACTTTACAAATAAATCCCAATCGGGATTTCTCTAAGGTTTACATACGAAGGGGCAGAAAAGTAAATTAATAGTAAGGCAAGGAAGTGGCAGGAGTAACTAATTGTTTGACTTCTCTGTGACTAGTTTTGAAATGGTTAGTAAAAATTTGGACTAAACAAACCTTTGACAAGGTTTCTACTTTCTAATTTTCTGGTGCTAATGACGAGGCTATTCATCACAATGTTATAATACCAGTTTAGCATAGTAGGGGTGTTTCTGGTGCTAATTTTCTAATAACAAGGTCTCAGTCAATTTTCTCGCTCCTCTCTCTGTACGTGTTCAACCATGCATGATTGTGTGCAACTTGCCTCTCTTGCCAGGAATGGGAAGTGATCGAAAATAATAAAAAGGAAGCAAGCAATGATTATTAAAACAACCACTGTGAGTATTTTATTTTCCTCTGTATTTCTGCTAAAGTTTTCATTGGATGAAAAGTGGTATCTAACATTATACTAATGGAATTTTAAGGGTTTATACTCATTATAGATTTCTGAAATTAAAAGCAACATCAGTGTATTCATAACATCTGCAAAACTCTACTTCTATTTTTTTAGATCCAACTTTAGATGCTAAAAGGAATGCAGATATAAATATAATGGACTAAAAACTGCATAATCATTTGTGTAAATGTGGGTTACTTTCAGTCTAGAATCTAGATGAACCTTTAAAAATCTGAGAATGTAAAATATATTTAAGATAAAATATACCCAGTATCTAAGTCAGATATTTGATTAAGAATGAAAAGTCAAGGTGAAAGATAAGGGGTTTCATGCAGTTCCTTTCCCATTTCACATCTGCTACTTCAACAATTTTTGTGATAGGTCTAAAAGGTTTTTTTTAGTTTGTCAATTTGAGTGGTGAAGCTACCAGTTTTCACTGTTTTATTAGTACTAACAGGATAGACATAGTGATATAAAATGGATATAAGTAATGCTTTTTGATAGTTTCAATTAATAAAATGATATTTGATCCAGCTTTGCAAATAAGCATGTCTTCGAGTATAACTTAGTTGTTGTATCATTGAGTATTTATTATTTAAAGGCTAACTTTTATTACAAAAGTGCACATGAATCTGATACTTAGCCTTTGGCCTAGTTACTTAGAAGTCAGAATGTGAGAATTTTGTCAAATAGGACCATAGCAAACCCTGAATTCTACTTTTCTTTTGTTGGTCTCAAATTGCTACTTGTTTCATTTGTAACTGTCTGATAGAGAACAAGGATCAGATGGTTGTGATTAACAAGCTCCAGTTGACCTCCCCAGTAGCTTGTTGGATTGTAACTGTCCAATCTCGGCTGCTGCCCAAAACTAAGACAAACACATCTTGTTTACCCTTAAAACAAGCTGTGGATCGGAGTTTGGTTCTCCAAAACCTTTTTCCACTGCCCAGTGATGGGAGAGCATGCGAAGTATAGCTTGTTTACTGCTGTATTACCTCTTGGCAATTAGACCAGTTTCCTTTCTAATGCATGTGAGTAACTTAATTTATTAATGAATTCCATTTTCACTCTTTGCAGATGCATGACAAGGCACTTTTTTTCTCCAATATGTTATTTGTTTTTCTCTTGCACTCTCTATCTCTCTCATGCATTGTACTTTTTTTACTAAAGTCTCTATTATCACAGGTGATAAGTGATCTTTTTTAATACTTCTCCAATCATGCGTTTTGTTATTGTTTAGTCTCTATATATGGTGTAGTGCAGCGACAAGTTGATGTGAATGGGGAAAAGGGAGCACGTGTTGTTGATTACTTCCATAAGAATGTCGTTGTCGGGGCTTGGCACTTAAAGATTGTTTTATATCCTATAGACCGTGCTATCTCAATTCTAGCTATAATTGTAACTTGTGTTTTGTTTTTTGAGTTGTAGTTAATTACATTTATGATTTCCGGGGTATGCCCCTATGAATCATGTACATTCATATGAAATCTTGAGATATAAATAAAATGTTTGAGATTTTGGTTAATGTTAATGTTTTGTTTATTAGTATTAATATAAAATATATATATATATATATATATATATATATATATATATATATATATATACTAATGAATCATGTACATTGACACTTTTTTAGTGTTACAGAAAATTTTAGTGACACTAATTTGGTGTCACTGTAAGGTCTTTTTCTAGTAATGTATGTATATATCACTAAAAACATGATGCATTGGTATCACAAAAATCCTTGTTACACATATATCACAGTTCTCTATGATGTTTATATGTCATAGTTTTGTGACACAAAAGTGACTTATTAACGGTGACACTAAATTTAGCGTCACTAGCCCCGCTTTTCTGTGACACTTTCAGAGTGTCACTAAATCGTTTAGTGACACTAATTTAATGTCACTATAAGCCATTTTTTTACTAGTGTACGCTTCTCATGGGTGGTGTTGGCAAGCCTTGGACTGGAGAGGGAGCAGCTCCTATATCATACATCCGGATGTATGTACACCCAGCCCAACTAAGAAAGAAAGCCCAATAACTAATACAGGCCAAAAAAAATCAATGGCATTTTTGTAATTTAGGCGAAAAAACACGGCTTCTGCTAAATGAGCAATATTTTACGTTTACTGAGCATCCAACCTATTTTATTGAGTATTAAGAGGCTAACAATGAGTATCACGATCTCAACTTCATATCCTCTAATTTTTGCTCTTTTTCTTATTTTTTATTTTATAAAAACTTATTAAATTATATCTATAAGACTATAATACACTTTTATGAATTTCAATATGTGAATTTAGTGTAATATGATACTTTTGAAATATGCATTGATATGACATTTTAAAATGAGCATAACATCAATACCAAATGAGCATACGTAACTTACAAAATTTTAATTGATATGAAAATCGTAAAGTTTGTTAGTTTGACATAACGACATTTTCATTGAGCATCAAACCTTCTCTATTGAGATAAAAATCACAGTTTTTGTTAAATGAGCATTAATGAACTTTTAATGTGCATCAAACTTATTATGAGCATTAAAACACTTTCAATGAGCATCACACTTATTCAGTTGAGTATTAGGAACCTAACAATGAGTATTGTGATCTCTGATTCATATCTTCTAATTCAATTTTTTCTTTTATAAAAACTTATTAAATACAGAGTAATATCTATAATCAAGTTCTATGAACTTCATTATACGAATCTAATGTCATATGCAAATTTTAAAAATTGCATGGATATGAATATAATATGAGTATAAATTGAGCATATGTGACTTACAAAATGAGTATCGATATAAAAATCATAAATTTTTTAGTTGAACTTCAAGACATTTTTATTGAGCATCAAACCTCCCCTATTGAGTATTGAAAATGAGTATCATGGTATGTGCTCATATATCTATAATCAAGTTCTACATGAATTTAATTTAATTAATATGATACTTTTGAAATATGAATGTATATGGCATTTTAAAATGAACATCATGCCAGTATCAAATGAGCATACATAACTTACAAAAGGAGTATCGAACAATCCAAAATGTCATTTGAAATTGCTAATGCGCTCAAATCCTTATTTGTCTATGCTCATTTCGTATAAATATTATGCTCATTTGGCACGTGAGAGCGATGCGGCAAGGGTTGGATTGATTTGTCAGGTCAATCTTAGCGGAATCTAGTCTATACAGAGCATTAACGTTGTCATATAGAATCTCTGCAACACCAGAGATGGAGGAACCGCAACGAACTTGAAATGACTGAATTATGACGGACCGGGGCGTTGGCAATTGGGAATCCAGAAGTGTCAAAGAAGAAGATTGTAAAAAGAAAAGTAGAAACGGTCATTATTGCTTTGCTCTAACTTGTGAAATAAAGGTGAGAAATCAATAAGTAGAAGCATCGGTTCTATCTCTTTCGAATTTTGTGTGCTCCGAAAAGCCAATCTTTTGTCAGTAAACCAGTTCTTCTCCGACGGCGTCCTGCTCCTGCTCTACTGCCCTGCTTCCGGAGACGCACAAAACCGACCTTCACCGGACCTTCAATGGAAAAACTATGTTACTCGGCTGATGTCAATGGCTAAGGTTCGTGCAACATATATGGAGTAGGAGAAGAAGCCTTAGAGTTGCATGGAATTACAAAATAGCCGGGTGTACACATACACCCGGGTGTATGGTATAAATTGCCGCAGAGAGAGCCACTTGATATGTGTTGATTATTACATGGGAATATTGGTGGCGGTGATGATGAACGACTCCAATTACCCTCTCCGCCTTCCTGGTCAGCTCCAACACTTTGGATTCCACAACCCCTAATTTGTGAACAATTGCAAATCACAAACCTTCAAACCCCTTTTTTTCTGGGAATTAATATTGAAGATAGTTATCGCAAGATGAGGAAAAATCAATTAAGAAGGTTGTGAAATAAGAAGCTAATCTTCATCTTTTTCCTCCATTAATTACATCGAAACTAATTGATTAGTGTGGCTGGAGGGAGAATGGGTGAAATAAGAAGGTTGCCGGACCACAATTTTCGGCTTCAAACTCTTTGAATGTACGGGAATATGTTGCAGTTGGTTAGTTGGTAGGCTAAGGGACATAATTGGATTTGAAAAAATATGTGGGTGTATTTAGTAAAATGGCGACTGTGAATAGAATTTCTCTTTTTTTATTGGGAAAATTTCAAAAGTAAGTTTAAAAGTAAAAATAATATCACTTTTTTCACTTTTGAAAACATTTTTCAAAAATAGACTAACCGTGATTTTCCTTTCACAAATAGACTTTGCATACAAAACTCCCAACTGGCTGGATCCGTACTCCTAAGAAGCCACGTGAGATTCCCCTCCAACTATCCACGATGTATTCTTTTCCATAAATCAATATAAACTCTAATAATTACTCAATTCTTGTTTCTAATAGAAAATGATGTACAAATAAAAAAAATATAAAGAATATGAAAATGACTAGAAATAAATAAAATACTAAAAATCGAAAATAATAAGAGTAACACAAGGCATTATATAAATTTGAAGATGAAATTTTTTAAATAAATTTAAAAATTCAAAAAGAAATTAATTTTTCAAAATGTATCAGAAAAATAAAAAAATATAGAAATAGAAAAATTAAAAAAATAAAAATGAAAAAATTGGAAAAGCTGTAGGATAATATAACGTTTAAAATGTATTTTTTAAAAAACATATACTCCTTAATTTATATAAAAAAGAAAATTAAAAATGAAATTTTATTTATCACTAATGAAAATAAAAAGGGGAAATATATAAAAATAATTACGCAAAAATTATATAATATACAAATTTAAAACAATCTAAAAAATTTAAAAATATGAAAATCTTCAAAAATTCCAAATGAATGTTACAAAATAAAATTAAAATAGGAAAAAAAATCTTAAAAATTCAGAAAGAAACAGAAAAATAAATTTAACTTTAAATCATTAAAAAATAGAATACAAGAACGTGAAAAATTAAAATAAAATGAAACGTAACAATAAAAAAAAGTGAATACTCATTAAAAAAGTAAATTATAACTTGTTATTATCATTTCATGGTTATTTTTTGTTGCACAATGTTTCTTTGTGTTTCATTTGGTTGATCACTTTAATATTTTTTTTTCTGTTTGTTTATTCATGTTCGCAATTGTTGTTGAAACTCATAAATTCTAATTTATCTTTGTTGATAGTTTTAATTATTTCTGTTTTTTATTGTTTCTTCATGTTTCTTTATATTTATTTATAAATTCAAATTTATTATTTTGGGTGTTTTATACAAAATTATATATGATTTTTATTCCAATTCACTAACGAATATAAATATGTGTGTGTGCGCGTGTGAATACCAAATAAAAATAAAAATCAATAATAAAGAACAATAAGAAACATGATATAATAGAATGCAACACGGTGCAACAAATACAACATGATGCAACAAAAAGCAAAAAATACAACATGATGCAACAAAAAGCAACAAATACAACATGATGCAACAAAAAGCAACAAAAAAGATGCAACAAAGAGAAACAAAAACATCATATACAAATTACACAAAATATATACAATTGAATCTATAGATGTAATTTACATCTGTTGGTTTTGGTTCTCTCCTCTTCTTATTCCTTTTATGTTGCACCTTAATACACAATTTATCATATATGTCTCTTCCATCTTCATTTTCCTTGTCAATCTTCTCATTCTTACATCTTCATGTACTTTTTTATTATGTGCCTCCAATGGGGGATTACAATCACTATGACACAAACTTTAAAAAAAAAATATTACAATAAATCTATATGACAGATGCATAAAAAGACATCCACAACTAGAAGAAAACAAAACAAGAAAAAAAATGAAATTGAAAAAATATACTCCCGATCATTAAAAAGAGAGTTCCACATATCTCATTCTACAGGAGCACATCACTTGGTGGTTCTAGACCAAACCACATGACAAAAGAACATTCAAAATTAGCGGTTGGCTATTAGTTCTTAGCTCTATAATGATGTTTACAAGAGGAGTGTACAAATTGAAAATTGCATTAGTATCTTTCAAACATAGATGATTTTAACCTTCCAGAATATAAATGAAATCTCAATGAATACTATGGCATTAATTTTTTTTTTTAATACTCAACTGGAAATTCATCTTGAAGAGATTAAGTGTTAGATTCCATATCTTACAAATGCTACTAAGGCAGTATTTTGACAAAAATCAAATCTCCGGTTAGCTCCAAAATGAGATTTGACCAGTTCAGACGAACCATGCAACCAACCAGGTTCTTATACAAAAAAGGTAGAGTTGCCAAGTAGCAGAACATTTAAAAGATCTAGGATTTCACAAAGGCTCGCAGAGAAAAGAAGGAATCATGGTAAAGAAACAGTTATTGACATCGATAATGAGGCTCTCTTTGAAAGAATGATCAAAACCTTTCTATATATTACTCTCGCTCAGCTTTCCTAGAAGCATTTCAGACAAAACTTTGAAGCTTTGAATGCATCGGAACCTTGTAAAAAAATGGAAATAACAGAGCAGTAAACTACTTAGCTCAGTTCGATGAAATTAGATTTTGAATAGAAGAAAGTGATGGCTAATAAGATATATGGTACCATTACATATTACTATTTTGCTCAAATTTTCAAAGAATTCCATTGTAGGCAGGTGGGTCTCTCTTTTGCAGCACTATACAATATAATAATACTTATCTGTATAAACTCTTGTGGTCGAAAATGCAGATTTTCATCAAAATGTTAAAAGCAAGTTGGAATATATGATTTTGAAAAAGGAGGGTGAACCAGAGATTTTGAATTGTGAACTCTACAAGAAGAAACTTGGAACTACGCCAGCCATAAGTTCAGCTAACAATGAATTCAAGAAATGTAATCCGAAACATAGTTCTAAAAATAAAAACAAAAAACAGTTTAGAAAATGAGTAGGTACTCTGTAATAAATTAAAATAAAATTATTCAATGAATGTTATATATAAACAAGGATTAGTGTGGGAGAGGTTGTGAACTAACCCAATGTACAGATCATAGACTTGAGACTTTTCAATTCGGTGGAAAAATTCACATAATCATATCTGCCAAGCTCATCGATCATAGTGCATATTAGGGCTAGAAGGATGTCGTGCACAAAAGTCGTTAATCCAAACTCCAACCACAAATACTGAAATAGGAACAGACATTTCAAAAATAGGGAAACATAGAAAGCTCGTTGATTAATAAAAGAACAATGAAGAAAATTGGAAGATTAGCTCACTCGATGGAATGCGAGAAACGGGGACAAATATTGTTTACAAGTATAGAATTCACTTTACTACTGAGCATTAAAAAAAACACTAGAAATACAAACTTACAGAAATCACCCGAGACTTCACACCACAAAACCTGATTTCATCTCTTGCATCTCTTCTTTTGTCTTTGTGGTGCTGTCCAAAAGGAAAAAAATTCTCAATTATTTGTGGTGCTGAAATAATGGAATACCTTGGAATTTGATGAACAAAGTATACAAAATAGATGGAATTGAATAGAATTTAAGCAGTTTGGTCGGTGCGAGTCAACATGGACCTTGAGCCAATCATCATTTATATCGTTGTCATACCTTATTCAGAGATGGATAAGGTAGATGGAGGGATTGAACATATGAGGTCAATCATTAGACACAACCGCCTACAAAACTCTCCAGCGATACTAGTGTTGATGTACATCGGCGAAGATGCATCAATCTCTCGGCCGACGGATGAATGGTATAGGAGATGAAAAAGAGAAGGGGAGAAGAAGGTGCGATGGACGTGAAAAATTAGAATGCACACACCGGATTTTGATTTTGGATTTAGACTGTTTTTGAAATAGGGAAATTAAAATCGAAAAGTTGAAAGTTTATAAATGAAAAGTCAAAAGACTTGAGACATAAATGAAATGCAACTAGAAAAAGTAGACTTAACGGGATATTTCCACTTTGTATAAAAATTAGGCCCACCCTCAAATTGAAAATGAAAATGTTAATATGGAGAGCAGTCCAGGTCCATTACTCCGCACTCTCCCATCCTTCCAGCCGAACCCGCAGTTAGACCATGGCCCAAAGTCTCATCATCCCAAATCCAACTCCAAGAATGCAGCGCGCAGGGGAAGAGGCAGCAGACTAGCAGTTTCGGCAAAACCCCTAATCCCAACCTCAGCTCAGCACTTGGACGGCGCACGGCGGTTCAGGCGCTCAGCACTTGGACAGTTGGACGGCGCACGGCGGTTTGCCGGTTTGGACTGCTTCACTGCTTTGTTTCTGGCTTTCTGCAATTCTGCTCTTGGGTGGTAAACTGGGACTCTGGAGCTGCGGCCTGCGGAACTACCTAACGGGTAAGTTACTTAGGTAATTAAGTTTTTTAATTTTAATTACAGCCTTGTTTAATTTTAAGTTTTAGTTTTATTGTGTTCTTAATTCAATTTAAAGATAAATTACAGTCTTGTTTAGTATGAATTTGATTGTTATTTATAAAGTTGTAATATAGTAGTATAAGTTTACTTGTGATTTGTAATTATTAATCTAATTATTATTAAGATTTAGTATTAGTGTAGTAACTAGTCTTATTTTCAATAAAGGTAATGAAGAAAATTGACAATGATGTCATTATTCAACAATATCAATCGATGAAAACCCGTAGAGAATAATTGTAAAATTGTGGTATTTTAGTTTTTGACTTTAATGAAAACTCTTTTTCCTATTATGTTTATTTTTGTATTTAATTTGTTGTTACAATATATGTTATTTAATTAACATATATTGAAATCGCATACGTGATTTCAATATATGCTTATTCCTGTACTCTTAAACATCTGACGGAGGATCCACTGCATTCGTTTGCCCCCCGGATGCTGAAGCTAGATCTGCCCCTTGATTAAAGTCTTAAGAAGCAAATCGTCAATGGGTGGAAAGTAATACGAACTTTGGGGTTTAAGGTTGAGGTGTGTAAATGGTAACCCTTACACTTCAACTTTTCGTTATTTTAACACCCCAGATTGGGTTGTTTACATAGTATTAAACCCTATTCATCCCTATTCCCTGCCCGAATATCTTTCCTTAATATGGCAATTGGCATGAATTTTCTTCTCTTTACATACTCTTATTCTCTCAAAGTTTTCAAGTTTTCATCTCTTACTCCTGGTAGTTCTTACATTCCTTTGGATTGATATAGTGATACTTTATGCTCTTCCTTTCAACTTTTCTCCATATTTTTCTATTTGTAAAGACTCTATACATATTTCATTGTGTAATTCAATCTGTTTAGTATCTGTACAATGTCATTGTTTTGTCTGCCAAAATTCTTTCTGATATGTTTGGGTTTAGTTTAATTTTAAATTTTGAATAGCTCATCCTTACAATTCATTTAAATTATTTGTAAAATATTAGTAGCCTCTTCTTTAAAAAATTGACATTCTGATCTTTTAAAGTACAATTGGATGTATTCAATAATTGTATAAAACAAATGTGCAAATATGCAAATGTAATAGTTTTACACTAGGGTATGGCATAGGACTAGAAAAAGAAAATCATTAAGTTTAAAATATAATTCATAAAATATATGTATGCTCTGTATACTTTAATTTTTTGTAGATGTACTGAGTAGGGACTAGTTTTGTCATTTTTAGTTAAATCACTTCCTGCATTTAAGCTTTTTCATTTTAACTCTCCCTAAAAGTAAAATTTATAATACAAGCTTGTGCTTAGTTTTCCTCCTTTACTCATGCTTACACTTGATTTATAATACACACTTCATGTATTAAAGCTTTCTCTTTTTAACTCTCCCTGACATGTGCTATGCACTAAACTATCTTACGGACTCCCTCTTTTTTATTTCCAAGAGAATGAGTGAAAGAACTCCCCATGAGGTCACGAATACCACTAGGCTATGGTCTTGTCTAAGAACCAGTCTTGTATAATGACATTGTCACATTGACAATAAAGGCTTCTTATACTCTTGAGCTTATTATTTGTTTGAATTCCTAAGAATATGAAGACTTTGGACTGTTTCTATGTGCCTGTGGATACTAAGTATTCTAGATAGAAGCATTGCTTAAATTCCTTAAAATTTGGTAATTCTCATCAAGCTTTTGAAAGGTCAAGTGTGGCCTCGAGGCAGTTCACCTCTGCATAGTGAGGCACAAGCCTTGAATTATTATAAAGTAAATAACACACACACACATCATGATTAAGCCTTAAAATTTAAATATCTAACTACTAATGTTCAAAACTAATATCATAATACCCTTGCATTATTATCAAAATGATTTCAAGCAGAATGGTTCTTTTTTAGGATTGAGGTCCCATAAGACTTAGCTGCTATCCTTTCTTCAAATTTGAGCTGCCTAACTAAACCAATCTTGTCCAAATAACAGCACTTGAAATCAAAGCAAATGCTGTATATTATAGGATTGGGCTTAGGGGATGAGAAAGACATCACGTTGAAAGGACTTGAAGCAGTGAAGAAGTGCAACAAAATTTACATGGAAGCCTACACTTCTCTTCTCTCTTTTGGCCTCTCTTCCGATGGCCTTTCTGCTCTGGTTAAATATTGGCTCATCGCTCTGATGTTTGTTTTCCTTCCAAGCTTTTGATGATTTCTTTTATGTGCTGATGTAGTGAACTGTCAAACTTTGTAGGAAAACATATATGGGAAACCGATTACCCTCGCTGACCGAGAAGTTGTTGAGGAGAAGGTTGATGTCATACTCTTCGAAGCCCAGTCCACTGATATTGGTTTCCTTGTAGTTGGAGACCCTTTTGGGTACTAACAACTTTTTCCATTTTAATCATTCTTTTTATTTTCTTTTTTCATTTATTCCCTGTTTAATTTTCATGATTACTCTTTCTTAGTTTCTTTGTCTTTGGGAAATTGTTTTTTTATCAAATTTGTTAATTTTGTGTGTCATATGTTTTCTAGTTATTACTTTGGTATACTGGGCTCTACCGAGTTGTTCATGAGATTGATGTTTTTGATCCCAAGTGAAACATTTTTATAACCTGGCGCTGATACGAGTCTTTACTTCCCCTACAAAGATGATAATTGTTAATTCTGGGATCCTGTCTGTCTGTAGTTAATAATTGTTAATTCTGGATCATAGCAGTAGTCATTTTTCCCATTTGACTCAGTTATGAATATTCACTTATAGTCCCGCTTTAACACTTTATCATAATGGTTGGTAGAAAGTAGAAATATCTGAAAACCAGTTCGCATATAAGGAGCAACAATTATACATGCTCTGCTGACAGGATGATAATTATCCTGATCAAGAAGGTTTTTAATATGGTTGTTCAAACTTCAAAAATTGGGCTGTTTGTGTATTGATTTATGTGTTTTAAAGAAACGTTTTTTGAATATTGCATGATTCTGCTATCTGCTATTTTGGCGATTTCATTTTGTCTGGTTTATTATTATTAATTACTCTCGTACTTGTGTCAGAGCAACTACCCATAGTGATCTTGTTGTAAGAGCAAAAAAGTTGGGGGTGGATGTAAAGGTTGTGCATAATGCATCGGTGATGAACGCTGTTGGGGTTTGTGGTTTACAACTGTATCGATATGGTGAGACAATCTCCATTCCTTTTTTCACAGAAACTTGGAGGCCTGACAGTTTCTATGAGAAAATTCGTGAAAATCGAAGGCTTGGGTTGCACACTCTCTGCTTACTGGATATACGAGTGAAGGAACCTTCGTTGGAATCTCTGGCTAGGGGTAAAAAGATTTATGAACCACCACGGTATATGACAATAAACACTGCCATTGAACAGCTCATAGAAGTGGAAGAGTCCCGCAGGGAATCAGCATATAATGAAGACACTGCTTGTGTTGGGTTTGCCCGTCTGGGCAGTGAAGATCAGAAGGTTGTTGCGGGTTCTATGAAGCGATTGTTAACCTACGATTTCGGGCCTCCTCTACATTGTCTTGTCATAGTTGGTACTACTCACCCAGTGGAACAAGAAATGCTAGAATTCTATGCCTGTTGAGAGCTTAGTTACATGTCAATGAACCTGGAACCTATCTTTGACGGGTTTTTGATTTGTTGCTTCACATGTACCCTTGTATTTTTCATCTCTCTTGGGGGTTCATAATTATTGAAGGTTCATTAGAAATCTTAGAAATCATTATGATCTTGTAATCCTCAACTTTTACTTTCCTGGTTCCTTTTTTGCACACCGGTTGAGTTCTATTTTGCTTCAAAATCTTAACTCAAGAATATTTCATTTCATAATACATTATGTGCAATAGAGTGTTTCAGTGTTTTCGCCGCAGCTGTGCATATAATAATGATCTGGTTACAACGTTCTCGTTTCCTTACCACCTTGCTTGATTTGCGTATCGGCAGGCTTTGAAGTTTGGTCCCATACATTTGAAATAGTTCCAATTCCAGGTAAAAAAACTGATCTGATTTCAAAATCGGAATTGTGTCCAACCCTAAGCCTTGCCAGCACCTTAGCAGTTTAGCCACTCCAATTTTTGCTATCTGCTTTTTAATTTCCTTAAGAAAATTACTTTAGCCAAAACCTGACAACATTCTGTCTTGCATATCAATTGGTCAATAATAGTTGCATTAGAGCATTTATAAGAGTTACCTTCCAAGCTAAAAGGTACTGCAATGGTTAGCAAAATTACCCTTTTCGAAACCACAAAGGTAAAAATTACCCTTTTCGAAAGCACAAAATAGAATAGTATACTCGGTATTAAATTGCCTAAAAGACATTGAAACACGTTCGGTAATGCTTATGAATTGATAATGAGATATTACCCGAAATAGGACTAAAACATTTTGAAAATTCCAAAATAGAACTGCCATATTTTTATTCCCAAAATAAGACTAATTACTGTCATGTTTTGGCAGTACCAGACTTCAAACATGACAGGATTTTCTACATTTGGCAGTAATTACTCCTATTTTGGGAATAAAAAAAATGACAGTCCGATTTTGGAAGTTTCAAACTGTTTTAGTCCTATTTCGAGAACTTTCTCATTGATAATTGATGTTCTTAACAATATGAAAGAAGGGGTTTTTACATGGATATTACTAATTTTGAACCAATTACCCAAAAAGTGACCACTTTTAAAAAGGGACAAAAAAGTGATCAAGAAGGTCATATATGTTCAATTAGAAAACATGATGTAACGGCAAAAAATTTATGTCACTGCGTGTTCGTTTTTTGTAACTACAACCACCACCCATGTCATTACAACCAGCGCCTGTGTCACTGTAGCCACCACATGTGTCACTATAGCCACCGCCCGTGTCACTGTATTCAATATTGCTCACTAAACGTACAATATTCAATAATGATATGCCATTGTTACTCATTGTTAGCCTCGCAATATTCACTAAAATAGGTTAAATGCTCACTAAACGTATAATATTGCTCATTTAGCGGAAACCGTGAATTTTCGCTTAAATTACAAATATGCCACCGAATTTTTTTGGCATGTATTAGTGGTTGGGCCGTCTTTCTTACTTGGGCCGGGTGTACATACACCCGGATGCACTATATACAAACTGCTTCATGGATTGCCAAACTTATTAAGTATCAAAAAGTAGTAGCATTCACCACAAGAGAATATGTCTTATCATAATCAATATGGGATATTTGTGAAAATTCTTGTGCAACTAAACGGGATTTATATATAATAATTTCACCCTTTTCATTTTTTTACGCTCAAAGATCCATTTATATAACCCACTGGTTTAACATCTTCTAGTGTTTTGACCACAGGTCCAAAAACTTCTCACTTTTCGAGCGATTGTAATTTAGCCTCTATTGCATCTTTCTACTTTGACCAATCATCTGTGCGTCTACATTCTTGTATTGTGCTTGGTTTATGTTCCTCATTTTCATCATTATATCTAGCGCTATATGATATGCAAATATGTGATTTGCTTTATCATCATCGATTCGATTTTATGTCGGTTCCAAATAACTCCTGACATGACATAATTTATTGAGATCTCTTCATTTTCAGGTACCTGATCCTTTTTTGGATTTATAATCATGTCAATGTTCTCTTCAGGAGAATCTACTTTTAAGTTATTTTATCCTCTTCTTGGTCATTTTCATTCTTTGCTCTCTTTCTTTTTCAAGGATTTTTATCTTTGGACTAGGGGTGGATTCGGTTCGGGCCACCCGACTCGTGACCCGGCCCGCTACTGTGCAAGTCCGGGACCGGCCCAGTTTGGCAGTCCGGGACCGGGTGTAGACCCGAACTGGGGGGTTAGGGTTGGGGGGGTTCTGAAAAAAGTTGACCCGGCCCGGCCAGGTCGGGCCCGTGTCCGAGTCCAACGATCAGATTTTAAAAAAATAATTGTTTTGGACTTTTGGGCCAAACTAGCCGTTGGGGTGGGCTGGGGACTACCCAAACGGCTAAATAGCCGTTGGGTGGGCTGCAGGTGGGTCCGTGCGGTTTGGGGATGGGGTAAAAAAAACTATAAATACTCCTAATCTTAAACATTTTTCTATATCTCTTCTCCAACTCTTCCAAAATCCTACTCTTAACTCTCTACTCGATCTCTACTCTCTAATTATCTTCATCTTCTCAAATTCTCTTATTCTCCAATATATTATATATCTACTTTATATTAATTATCTACTTATAATTTATAAATACATACATTATATTACTTATATTTCTTATCTAATTATATATTACTTATACATTTATTATATCTATTAATATAGTTGGAATTATATCTATAATTTATTTACTTTCTATAAATATTCTTATTTTCTAACATTTTTATACACATCTTCTCCAATATCCAATCTCTAATCTCCATCTATTGTAGTATTTGTAGAATTATTATATCTACCTTTTTTAAGATGGAAAGTATAGCACGGGGGTTTCACCGTCTTTCACGCGAATACGGGATGGCAATGAAGCATATTATGTCATGTGACCGGGAGGTGCGGGAAGTTCCGATTGATTACAATTTACAAAATGTATTTCATATTGTATTTTTTTCTTAATTGTCAAATATAGTTCCTATTTCATTTCAAATAAATGCACTTGAAGTTTGTTGTTAATACTTGTACAAAACTATAAAGTATAAATTATAAAAAAAATGGATTTAACCAACCCGGCCTGGTGGCCCGACGGGTGGCCCAGCCCGAACCGGAACCGTCCAGACCTCAAGCCGGTCCCGAGCCCATCACTTACAAACCGGCGGCCCGGCCAGGCCTAGGCCCGGCCCGAGTCCATGCCTACTTTGGACCGATTGGTTTCCCACGCTTCATGTCATGCTTTTGATTCATTTGCAACGACATGTCCTGCACAGTTGCACTCCTACTAGGACATTTAGTCTAATAGGACTATAGGAGCATTGATAGCCGGTACTAATGACTTTGTCACTCCTTTACTATTAGTAAAAGCGTCTAGCAATTGATTCACTAAACCGTGTAAATGTATTATCTTTTGAAATTCAATTTCACATTCTTTGGTACGAGAATCAAGATGTAATAATGATGGTACAGTACAACACAATTCTTTCTCAAAGTCATTCTCTGGTTTTGAAGTTTGAAAAATCCATCAAACACAAGAGGAAACAGAGCAATACAAATAAACAACTGGAGAAAACATCCCACCACACTTGTATTTTTGACTTTCCGTATCTACAAATTTCTTTGAGAAATTACCCAAAATAGGACTAAAACGTTTGTATATTCCAAAATAGGACTATCATGTTTTTATTCCCAAAATAGGACTAATTACTGTCATGTTTTGGCAGTACTAGACTTTAAACATGACAGTAATTACTCATATTTTGGGAAGAAAAACATGTCAGTCCTATTTTGGAATTTTCAAACTTTTTTACTCCTATTTCGGAAATTTTCCCAATTTCTTTTTAATAATAAAACTCCCTACTAAAATGTACTGTTATAATAAAAAACATTTTATAGGACATCAAAAGGGGTCATTAATGCCTTCAGGGGCGTACCTGAAATTCGGTGTAAATTTTTTTCCTAGGCCGACCCACCTCAAATTTAAACAATGTCTATATTTTTAGTGTAAAAAATTCGGTGTAATTTTTTTCCCAAAAATATTCTTTGTACGGGCCTAGTGCCCTGGCTCTGCCCCTGAATGCCTTACGATGTGCATTAACACACTCTTGTGTACACATATGTACATGAAAGTGTAACCTTCGAACTGCGAGTTGATAAATGTCGCAAATTCACCTCAAATTCGATAACACTAGTTATGAATCCAAGAAAAATGATTTTCCTCGAATCAAATTGAAATACTACGTCCTTTCTTTTTTAATTGCAACACTTTATCTTCACATTTGCCAACGCACATCTTTCACTGCAATTATCTTTAATTACAAAACATTATAAAAAATTGAGATTTTGGAAGTTCACATTAAGAGAAATTTGATAATATTTATACATATTAATTTGATTATATTAGTAGAAAATCATGGTCAATGTAAGATTTGTGAATAATGTAAATTTCAAAGTGTTGCAACTATTAAAGAACGGGGAAAGTATTTATGTTAAGTCGTCATTTTACCATGATGCAAGTTATCAATAACTCTGTGTGCGACTGAGCAGATCAGTAATGGTGGGAAAACTTTACTCCGAAAGTTGTTGTAGTCAAACAAGCCTGTGCTCATAATCTCGCCGTATATCTAGATATCCCTGTCAGCAAAAGACAGAAGAGGGAAAGGAAAAGGCACTCTCCCTACGCAGGTATTATCCTGTTCAGGTTCAAAGGGACTTTCTCAGCCTGTTTCAGCCAGAGAGAGCATCCTGGCTGATCCAGACACCCCTGGTGCACTTCTTATGTCAAATTATTGTAGAAAAACAAGACACATGATGTAGAAGGTTTACATATTCAAGGTTTTACATTATTAATTATTGACAATACGGAGAAATAGAGATAATCTTAAAACAAGGATATCTGTCGTCATAGTTTTATTTCACACCACCAACCAAAACTTAATACTTACTTATGAGGAAGGGATCAAGATCTCAAAACTTGTTTGAGTGGGCCCCATGTTGCATGGATGTCTTGTAGAACTCCTAACTAGCAGTTCACTCAGACATGGATACTTATCCTGCAAACACGTTCGTTCAGATTATTATCTAGGTTTTTTTATTATGAAACATACGATGCTTAAACAAGTATGTATACTTTAGTTCCATTCATACTTTTGAATGTTATTTCTCTTCACGGGTTAGTAAACGGTGCTTATTAAGACTCGCGTTAATAAGCGGCGCATAAACTAAGCAGTGTTGTAAGCTCATGTTTACTTCAAAGGATTTAAAACACCGTTTAACATTAAAATGTCCAAAATAACCCTATAGATATATACACACAAACATTCATTAACACAAGTATATAATATAATATATGGGGTCACCTCGTACGCTTAGTCGCTTACCCACACCCCTAATCCCTACCCCGCCCTGTACCCCACCCCTCACCCTACCCCCAATTCCACACCCTTGACCCCACCCCTTCCCTACCCCTACCCTTACCACGACCTTACCCTCCACCCCTACTCCCACCCATACCAACCCTCCAACTCGTAGGGGTAGGGGTAAGGTGGGGTGGGGTATGGTTGAGTCAAGGGTGGGGGTGGGGTAGAGGTGGGTCGAGGTAGGGGCAGGGGGTAGGGGGTGGGGTCGGGGTAAGGGTCAGGTCAAGGTAGGGGAAGGTGGTAGGGGGTAAAGGGGTAGGGTAAGGGGTGAGGGTGGGGGTGGGGTAGGGAAGGTGGTGGAGGGTACGGGGTGTGGGTAAGGTGGGGTGGGGTATGGTCGGGTCAAGGGTGGGGGTGGGGGTAGGGGTGGGTCGAGGTAGGGGTAGGGTCGGGATAGGGAAAGGGGGCGGGGGTAAGGGTGGGGTCGGGGTCGGGTCAAGGTAGGGGAAGGGGTGAGGGTGAGGGTGGGGGTGGGGTAGGTCAGGTGGTGGAGGGTAGGGGTAAGGTGGGGGTGGGGTATGGTCGGGTCAAAGGTGGGGTGGGGGTAGGTGGGGTCGGGGTCAGGTCAAGGTAGGGGAAGGTGGTAGGGGGTACAGGGGTGGGGGTGGGGTAGGGCAGGTAGTGGAGGGGTCGGGGTAAGGTGGGGGTGGGGTATGGTCGGGTCAAGGGTGGGGTGGGGTTGGGGGTCAGGGTGGGGTCAGTGTAAGGTAGGGGGTATTGGTCGGGTCAAGGGTGGGGGTAGGCGTAGGGGGTAAAGGGGTAGGGGCGGGGGTAGGGGTGGAGTCAGGTCAAGGTAGGGGAACGTGGTAGGGGGTACAGGGGTAGGGTAAGGGGTGAGGGGGTGGGGTATGGTTGGGTCAAGGGGGTGGGGTGGGGGTCAGGGTGGGGTCGGGGTAAGGTGGGGTAGGGCGGGGTAGTTGGGTAGCAATAGGGTAAGGGCAAGGAGTAAAGAAAGGTAAGGGTAAATTCGGAAACTGAAAAAGCTTAAAGTGTCGTTTAATTAATACATGGGGGATGGTATGCTTAGTAAGCGGCACTTGCATCTCTTTCGGTTAGTAAGCAGCGTTTTAAGCAACTTGCGTGTTTACTTCACCTGTCTTACTAACCTAACTGTGATTTTAGCGGCGAAGTAAACGCCTCCTTAGTTTGTTCTCCCAATATGAGCATCATTTCCCAGCTCAACTTTCATCAATAATTTGGAATAGTAAACTACAATTACTACATCTATTCATGACTTTTTAGCTTACAACTATACAATTAAACCATTATATTGCTTATGTAGGAAAACAATGGGCTTAAACCCAATAGGAATAGGAAACCAAACCTGGAAACCTAATGTCTGTGTTCAGAGCTTGGTAAATAGGGAGTAAAATCTTGAAAGAAAAACTGCCAGGAAATAAAATTTGGAAGAGATGTTTATGTTTAGATATTTATTCTAACTCATTTTATTTATTACTTTCTACTACGTAATATATATAGACTAAGAATTCTATGTTTATCAAAAAAAAAAAAAACATATGTAAACCGTACTCCATTTTTCTTGTTTTTCTAGGTATAAGAAAATAACTTTCCCCGGCATTTGCTTGTCTTAGCCTAGCATTTTCCCGAATCCAAACAGAACGGATGAGAATAGAAACCATATGATTCTACTAATAAATGCGAAAAGAAGGATTACTATAACTCTACAACAAATAATACGCTACAAGAAAACATACCGCTTACCTCCTTTAGATCTTCAAAGGGTCAATGTAAGTTTTGGGGAGATAGATTTCCCCACCAACTTCACCGTGTTGTTCCCCACTCACAGTTTTCTTTGCTGCTTTGAACTCTGCACTCATAGCGTCCATCCCACGCTGGATTGCTTCCTCCGGGCTCCCATACCCGTGTTCCTCAGCATACTTCCGTATATCCTCAGTGATCTTCATAGAACAAAATTTGGGCCCACACATGGAGCAGAAATGCGCCACCTTAGCACCGTCTGACGGCAGGGTTTCATCGTGGAAGGACATTGCGGTGACAGGGTCAAGTGACAGTGCAAACTGGTCCATCCACCTGAACTCAAACCTTGCCTTGCTTATCGCATCATCCCACGCTTGTGCAAGAGGGTGACCTTTTGCCAGGTCAGCCGCATGGGCAGATATCTTATACGATATAACTCCCGTTTTCACGTCATCCCGGTTAGGCAAGCCAAGATGCTCTTTCGGAGTGACATAGCAGAGGAGGGCAGTGCCCAGTGCTCCAATATTGGCTGCACCTATGGCTGAGGTTATGTGGTCATATCCGGGTGCTATGTCGGTGGTGAGTGGTCCGAGAGTGTAGAACGGTGCTTCGTTACACCACTCCAATTGTTTTTGCATGTTCTCTGGAATCTTGTGCATGGGAATGTGTCCAGGTCCTTCATTCATGACCTGAATGAATTACAGAGAATATAATAACATGTTAAGGCCGGGTGGTTGGATCTGCTTCTTAGAATGACTCTGCTTCTATAAGTAATTACAAACAGTATCATCATTTTTACGAGTGTTTGCGAGTACTCCAGAATCACTTCTGGTGCACACTTAGAATCAGATATAATGCTAGTGGGGACATGTTTCTATAAAATTGATTATGATATTTGAATGTTCATTCCTTAACTACCCTCTGTCACTTATGTATATATGTGTGCCAGTAAACTTTACCGTCTTCGCCATGTAATACAAGGATCAACTTCAAGCAGAAGGGTTTATCTAAACACTCAAGTGATTCTTTATGTTTAGAGCAGAAGCAATGTCATAAAATTAAATATGAATCACTTTCTCATACAAAACAATATTCTGAATTTGATTCATAATCAATGCCAAACACACCCTTATCAGTGCAAATAACGGCATTGAAGAAGTAAAGCAACATGATCTTTAAGGATTCAGTTGTTGAAGTTTTTTATTCATGAAATGCCTACTGCTCATAAATGGTAGTTAAATGCAGAAAGCACACACCAACCAAGAAGTTGTAGAACTACTCAACTACCTTTTTTAATTGGGAAATACAAATGATGATTCCGCTATTCAAGGAAAGGCATATGGCGTAGAACTTTGTCACTACACTTTCTGGATTGATTAATTCCGTAACTTGTTTAGACACACACTTATCATATAAGGCTGCATTAGGTAGCCATATCCTGCTTATTCTATGAAAAGCAGAAGAAGCCCTTTTTGACTTATTTGGCTGAAATGGATTTTACTAAACACTTTTGATTCAGAAATGGATTTTACTACACTTTGGCTGAAATGGATTTTACCAAGCATGCCTAAATTCCATGCCACTCGCCCGAACTACTTAATCCAACTAAATTTTATTAAGGTGAAGATGATTATTAAACAATGATTCTATGAAAACTGAGATAATACAGACAACTATGACACAATTACCTGCACGTCCTTTTCCCAAGCTCTACGCGTAAGTTCTCCTTGAGTTAAGAGCTCAGCGAATTGAGCAGTGTCATTTGCATCATAAATGGAGCCTGGCCTCAGCCCATCACCAATAGACAAAGATACATCATAATGATTGCATATGTCCAGAATGTCATCCCAATGGTCATAAGCAAAATTCTCCTTGTGATAGGCCAAGCACCACTTTGCGTGTATGGAACCTCCACGGGAAACAATCCCAGTCATTCTCTTTGCAGTCAAGGGAATATAGCGAAGCAATACTCCAGCGTGGATGGTGAAGTAATCAACCCCTTGCTCGGCTTGTTCAACCAATGTATCTCTAAAAACATCCCAAGAAAGCTTCTCAGCGATACCGTCCACTTTTTCCAATGCTTGGTAGATTGGTACAGTCCCCACGGGGACAGCAGAGTTGCGCAAGATCCATTCACGGGTCTCATGGATGTGACGGCCAGTGGAGAGGTCCATGATAGTATCTGCACCCCACATTGTTGCCCATTGCAGTTTGTGCACTTCCTCCTCAATGGAACTCACAACGGCTGAGTTTCCAATGTTGGCATTGACTTTGACCAAGAAGTTCCTTCCCACAATCATTGGCTCGAGCTCTAGGTGCTTTTTGTTTGAGGGAATGATCGCTCGCCCACGGGCAACCTCAGATCTCACAAACTCTGGGTCAAGATTCTCACGGGCAGCACAAAATATCATCTCTTCAGTTATAATGTCATTTTTTGCATAGAACATTTGAGTGTATCTCGGCCCACCCAACTTCTCCCTTCTGTCGATCCACTCTTTGCGCAGCTTGGGGAGTCCTAATCCACATAACCATTTCAAAGTTTAAACTAATCCAATGATAGCTCAACAACAACAACAACAACAACAACAACAAAGATTCTTTTACGGGTTTCTTTGTGCGGGGATAATGAGAGAACAAATGTTAACTTTTTAAAGTATTTTTTCATTTAGTTGGTTGAAAATAAAAATAAAGATAAAATAACTACAAGCAAATAAAAGATCTAACTAATCATATAATTATTTTTAACATAAAGCTAAGAATTGGAGATGCATTAGTAAAGCAAAAAATCAATCACCCCTTCCCTCCCCTCTAAAATCCCAAAACCAAACAAGCCCTATATCATTGTTAAAGTATCACACATTCAGAACTTACATATTTCTGACCATAAAAGAGATCAAATTGACTTCCTAACGTTACAGTCTGGGTTCTACAGTTGAAACTCATACTATAGCTCTTAAAAGTTGTTTGCCTTGTTAGGTTTATTAAATTTACAAAATTAAAAAATCATGTAGCTTAAAGAAAGGAAAACCTAGATGAGATTCTTACCGGCACGGGGGTTAGCATCCTGGGGACCGCTAGTATCATAAGTGTCAAAATGTGGTTCATCTCCTGTCAGGTGGATGCGCCGAAACGGGACTTCCAAAACATGACCGGATTGCTCATCAACAACCACCCTGAAAATGCCACATTAAACAGCTAAATCAAAATGGCAATAGGAATGAGAGAGAGAGAGAGAGTAGGCTTAGAAATACTTGTGCTCTTTTGAGCTCTTTGGGAAGCACTCTGCGAATGAAGGGAGGGGGAGAAAATTTGGGGCAGCTGGATCGACAGTATGCTTCCTTTGCTTAGAATTCTTCTCATCATTGACGGCATCTCTCGAGCCTGAAAATGAATTGGGACAGATACTCTTTCTCCGCAAACTCAGAGTATCAAAACCAGGCATACCTGAAATGCTCGGATAACTCATCGGACCAGAGTTGTTCAAATTCTTGCCAACAATGGAAGTCAGCACACACTGCGCAGACGCCATCATTTACCTTCAATCAGCCGAATTTTAAGCAAGTAACAAGCCTGGTGTCCTTTTGTGTAATAATCTAAAATCCCCTCAGGAATACCATTCAATTGTTCTCGACTTCTTGTCTATGGTGATAGCACGATGATGACCACAAATCTGAAATCGAGATAAGGGTCTGTTTACGGGTGATATTTCCCATTTTTTCTAGCAACATGCTTGATGTACACTTGTACACGTCATATTTGTGAAGCTTTTTTTGTCTGTGAATCCGATTCATAGACAATATTTTGTTTGTGCAAAACATTGTCTGTGAATCGATATTCACAGACAAAAAAAAAGTTTTCACATACATAGATGTGTACAAAAGTGTGTATAAGAGTGTGTACAAACGTCATTTTTGTTTTTCTAGTTTTGGTTCTCCAATTTTATGTTTTCTCATTTTTTTAGTTTTACATTTTTAAATCTGAAAATATGTACATCCGAAAATTGATTGCACGGTGCCGGTTCAAAACAGAACCTATTACAACCTAAGTAGAGTATTAGGTCCCACGTATAGAAAAGTTGAGATCGAAATCGGCCTATTTTGACTAATTCTTTTCTCTTTTTCCTATTGGTTGACAACTCAACGACTCATTTAATACCCTTCACTTTAAAAAATGATTTTCAAAAATGAAGACTGAACCGTTGGGTCATTGACCAGCCCGGACAGGGACCGCCTGGTTATCGACTAGACCGAACAGAGACCACCAGATCGTTGGTCGGACAGGACGGAGACTGTCAGGTCAATGACCAGATAAGACGGGGACCGTTGGGTCGCTTACCATACAGGACGAGAACTATCGGGTCGTTGACCGGATCAGATGGGGACCATCATGTCATTGATCGGACAAGGTCGAACCGGGATTACCCGGCTGTCAATCGGACCGAACAGGTACCACTTGATCGTGAATCAGACCAAACATGGACCAGCGGATCGTTGAATGGACCGGACAAACACTGTCGGGTCTTGGATCGGATAGTGACCCCCCAAGTCATTGACCGGATCGGGAGTGTCGGGTCGTTGACGGGACGGGGTCTGATCAGCTGTCGACCAAACCGAACAGGGATCGTCGGGTCGTTGATCGGACTGGACCACAAAGGTACATTCTGGTCGTGGATCGATCGGACGAGGACTGCTGGATCGTCGACCGGATCAAACAGGGACCGTCGGGTCGTCGACTGAATCAGACGGAGATCATCGAGTCTTGGACCAGATCGGATCGGGACCATTGGGTTGTCGATCAAACTAGGACTGCTCGACCGTCGACCGGACCGACATGGACCGCCGGGTTGTTGACCGGACTAGATACGGACCGCCTAGTCATTGAACGGACCGAACTGGAACTGACACTGGAGCAGGTTTGGGTCCACCATAAGGCATAAGTATGCAAATTCATTGCAGCGGCACCGCACCATTCGCGATTTTTCAAATTTGAAAAACTAGTAAAACTCATTCTCCAATTCATTAAGGAAACCAAAGTCATATTTTTTTTGTTTTTTGGAAAACGATTTGGTAAACGTATTTTCTATTTACGTTTTTCCCGTTTCTCCTTTTTTATAGACATGGTTTCAGTTTTGGTCGTTTTAGGCCTAAATTTGTCCGTTTCAGGTTTAGCGAGTCAGGTTACTTTGTATGAAGTGACTGAGTCTATGTCTACTCCCAGGGTTCACGATTGAATCTGTAAAATCTGTTTGAAGGTTGTATTATATGTGTTTTTAATTTTAATATAAAGATCGCTCTTTTATGATAAATAAATACTACTTAAATACTACATTTGTCTTTTATTTAAGTTTACAGTTGGACTTTATTGTCTCCAACATCGACGTTTGATGATGAATACATAAAAATATACACTTATAAAACTTATAATAAACTAACATTTCAATAATATATACTCAAAGATATTTTGGCATTATAAAATAATACGATGTTAGAATAATTAACAATCAAAGTTTTCTAAAAAACAATCAAAATTAATAAAGTTTGACTCAAAAAGTTAAACTGTGAACTTAATTGTGGAACAGAGAGAGTATAATATAACTTTCTAACCGTCTCACTTATTTATTTCTTTATATGTAAACCGCGTAATACTCATATTTAGATGGTAAAATTGCTTAATTTTACTTATACTTTTTTAGAAAAAAATATAAACATTTACATTTTATCCCTATAGCCTACTCTATTTGTGTTTTCTAGGTCCCGTAAAATATCAAGACCAGACATGTTCTTAGGTCATACCTTGTGCATTACCATAAAGTTCAAGATACATGAACGTTATGTATCTTGAACAAAAAGTTAAAGAGTATTTTCAACAAATAAACATGAAAAATTAAAGAGTAAATTCAACACACTTTTAGATACAAAAAAATTCAATATGTTCATTAGAGGAAAAAGAAAACCTCTATTTAAATTTTTCTATACCGAATCAATTGGAAGCTGTGTTGCAAAGATACAAATACGTTCATACACCGATACGTGTATACGGACACAACAACATGACAATTTCGAAAATTATAGGATACGAGTACGGTGATAGATTTATAAATACTTATAACAACAACAACAACAACAACAACAACAACAACAACAAGGAGGAGGAGGAGGAGGAGGAGAAGAAGAAGAAGAAGAAGACGGAGGAGGAGGAGGAGGAGGAGGAGACGGAGGAGGAGGAAGAGAAGAAGAAGAAGACGAAGGAGGAGGAGAAGAAGAAGACGGAGGAGGAGTATATAATCGAGAGGTTCATAAATAAACTAATAATCCCTCCGTCCCATTTTACCTGTCCTACTTTTCTTTTTGGTTTGACCCAAAATAAGTGTCTCATTTCTTCTTTTGGAAAGAAATATGTGACCTACAACTTTTCACTTTATTATACTCAAATTTCAATCACAACTTTTAATTTTTCAACCATTTTCTTAATAATTGCGCTAAGTCAAAGTGAGATACATCAAATGGGATAGAGGTAGTAATAGTATCAAAAATTTACAATCATAAAAAAACTCAAAGATTAGACTAAAAATAAATCGAAGTGCTGATAAATAAATTTAAATACTTGTATCGCTATTTGCACTAACATCAAAGTCCATTAACAAGACCGATTTCAATTCAGGCTCATCAAGTGATAGATTGATAAATTCAAGTATGTTCCAATATCTTCCATACTCTTGATATCATCTCCACCAAAGTCTCACATCTTGTGATTGTCTGAGCGGCTACTCTATTTTGGTCAGGTCATGCTTGACATCAGAGTTATATGGTTAGATACATCGACTCGTCCACATATACGTGTGTCAGAAGTGATTATATTTTAAAAAATAAATCCAATGCTTTTATTAAATCAAGAATACGAACGCAATACATACATGGCATGTATCATATGTATCGATATCCGATACGTATCGGATACACGGACACAACGTCGATGTGAATATCAGTGCACCATATATTGGAAGTGGCTAGTAAATATTCTAATTTAAATAGATCGAGTGTTATCTCCTTTCTTTTCCAAAAGGCATAAACACGGTGGAAAGTTATTTAAATATATTTTATTAATAAAATTAAGAAAAATTTACAAGAAAAATAGCTACAATGATGTTCTACAATATGTGAAATTGAAAAATTAGGTGTTTAAGAGAAAAATTAGTTTATCTACTATCTCGGGTTTAATGCACCAAACTCCATCGTGAAATATAAATTCGGCGCATTAGCCCCCTATGATTTAAAATATGCGTCAAACTCCCATGTGTTATGATTATTCATGTGCAAAACTCCTTCCATGAACAAATTTAATTGCCAAAAAATGAAAAACAATTAGTTTTTTGGTATAATTGAGAAGTTTTGACAATGTTACTTGTATATTGACAAAATTGCTTGTATATTAAGAAAAAGGATTTCAAAATTGTTAAATTTGTTCTTGTAGGGGTTTTCACGCATGAATAATTATAATAGGGGTTTGAATCATTTTTTAAATATCATAGAGTTAATGTACTTAATTTTTATTTCACGAGGGGATTTACTGCATTAAACCCTACTATATGCCAGTAATTGATTAAAAAAGTTGACAGGCATTAGCCGATAAGACCAGTTGGAGTGGTGTAGGATTAAGAGTCCAAAATGTTAGAAGTTGAATTTTTGGACTTCTAAATCCTTGTGTTGGTTGGCTAAATGGGGGAGTAAAAATGAAGAAGGGGATAGACCGATGGAGGGGTATATATGAAGGGTGTGAAGGAGGGAGGCTAAAAAAAGGAAGGGTAGTGGAGGCTGGCCGTGTGGTGCGTAGAACGAAAAAAGGGGGAAAAGGGCCTAGTGGCCATGTGGTGCCCAAGATTTTTTGCCTAGGTGAGGTCATGATGACGTCACACAGCACTCGTTTTAAAAAAAATTGTAGATCCAACGGTCGTGATGATTTGGACACTATTTGAACGGGAAAAAGTGATCCAACGACTGAAATTGAGATCCAACGGTTAAAATAATTTATTTTATTTTTTCATGCTTTGTTATTTTAATTTATTCCATATGTTATTATTTTAATTATGTGTGCTTATTTTAATGTCCACATTTATTTTTATTTAAATTCCATTTATTATAGTTATTATAAGTCTTTCACATTATTAAGTAAGATACCAAAAAGATAGAAGTAATTTACACAAACTCAAATATTTTTAAGGCACATAAAAGTTCCAGAAATACATAAAGGTTTTAGGAAAAACATAAATAGTACAAATACGAAGTTAACACTAGTAAATGAAATACATGAAAAAATGCGGGAAAAGAACTCGTGATTTTATGATAAAATAACCCACCATGACAAAAAAGAACCCTAGCAGTACGATGATTACGGCGGTGCAAGAAAAAGATGATCGCCGATTGAGTTGAGAGGCAAGGCGAAGGTTTGCGCTTATCCGTTTCGAAGGTTTTTTGGTAATTTTCTTTTCCTCTCTGTTTCCTCCGGGCGATTTCCGTCCTGTGTTTTCGTCCGGCTGATTCTGGCCGAATGTTTCTGTGTAATTTCTCTGGTTTTGGTCTGGCGGTTTGTTCTACTGCTGTGAACGTAGTGTGTTGCTGCGAGGTCTTGTTTGTTTCACGTTTTGTTCCATTTTGTATTAAGCTGGTGTTTTTTTCGATTTGGCTTGAAATGGATTTGGTCTTGAACAATGTT